CCCCCCCTAAAATTATGCCTGGATCCGCCCTTGACGCGCTAATCGAGACAATTACAAAGGTACCGACCAATTTATTACATTGACGGAAATTTATTGYCCGATTTTCCCTGTCGCCACTGTTGTCTCGAAAAGCGCGTAGCAATTTGAAGAGTAGTAATGATTTTCACTTCCAAGACGTGAATAAACCATAGTATGTTGGCCAATGCCATACTGTGCTGTYACAAGCAGTTATGTTTCTTTAGTTCAGAAAAGAAGCGGAAACACACACATATGGCGTACACTCTCCGTACACTCTAACACTGACAAAATGAAACAAAATTCTTTTATAGATGCCGCCAAAATACTGCCATCTTCTCTCAAATCTCACGTGCACTAATTATACTTTGACAGGTCATGAGAAAGTATGGTTATTAACCAATCACAGAAACTCATTCTCACGCTAATCATAATCCACTGACTACAAATTGTCYCTTAATACCCTGCAGTCAAAGTAAGACCTCACATATTTAGTACGACCTTTCACAAGAAGGAAGGGGGTTTCTTTCCTAAATCAAAAGCTATGAGTTCTAAAGATCGAAAAAAAATTCACCCAAAAGATAAAGACGGTAAAGGAAATGAGAAGCAAGCTCAGGGTTGGCTGAATCAACAAGAAGAAGACAAAATGAATCAGCAAGAAAGAACTAAGGTCACCCMAAAAAGAGAAATAGTACAAGCAAGTCTTGACACTACAAGAAAGGAAAGTGCCACCTCGTCGAAAAGTTCAGCTGAACTCGTAGAGGAGAAACACCACTCCCCCTCTCCATCAAAGTCAGTACCAGGAAAATTGAAGCGAAAATCTGAAATGATAGGCTATGTTGAGTATCTTTCGCCAAGTAAAAGAGACAAAAGTGACAAGAMAAACTACTCCAATCTGACACTTCAGCTTGAAAATTCAGAAAAGCAGCCAGCTGTATGTTTTTCCAAAATCAAACGACCACTATTGCTTGAAAGGGAAAAGAATAAAACTGCAATCAAGATAACAAATTTCAGTTATTCCAAGGATTCCTCAACAGTATACATAAATGACATGACACAAATTTCAGACGCCCCGGCAGAACAGTACTCATTCCAATACCAAGAACCAGAGAAGAAAAAAGATTTGAGCCTCCTTGACGTAAAACAGGAAGCAGAAGATATGCATCTTGTCAATGTTTCAGCAAAAATCTTGTACATCGGAGAAGTCGAATTAACAAAGGTCAAAAAACTACGCATGGCCGAAA